TGCCCCTGGGTGGAGAAGCTCGATCCCTAGGTAGTTCAGGGTTCCGCCTAGGGTATGGGGACCAGACGTCCCGATTTTGGCGGGACAGTCCCGCTTTTCAACAATTTGTCCCTCGGCCCGCGGCGTTTTAAAAAAGTCCCGATTTTTGGAAAGAACAAACGAACGGGCTGGAGAACAAGAAGGGAATATACGGTTTTCGGCTGCCATATGGCTATTTCGCCAGAATATGAGTTTTATATTATTTTTGTTAATTTTATAATGTTAAACTGTAATAAATAATTGCTGAGAAGTGATTATCAAGAACTGCTTATCAAAGTTTGCATTGTTGTCGGGCCCTGCCTCCCCGTCCCCTGCCCCGAGCCCCCCACTCCACCCCCGCTCCACCCCCTCCTGGCCATGTTGTCCCGCCTTACAGATGTTAAAATCTGGTCACCCTAGCCTAGGGTCACTTGTATCTCTGCTGTTTGGGGGCACCTATTAAGAATTCATTTCCCTGAACCAGTGTGGCTGGAAAAGCTTTGAAGAGATGGATGACTTGTGAGGTTGGAGCGCCCTCTGCTGGGTAAAAAGAGGCACAGCCGGGAGTGGCTGCATCAACACAGGGCTAGTAGGATGTGGAGCAGAAAGCAGGTGGTTCTGGGGCTTAGCTCACAGACAAGCCCCTCTTTGGGGGCATGGACACATTGGAGCACACACACCTTGTCTCTAATGTGAGCATGCTTTTGTGCACATGTGTTCCATTTCCACTCCACTTGTAGTAACGCCAACTGGAGTACTGCCATTCACTTCTGACACTGCCTCTGAGTTAGCCTCAGATTCCACTGGTTGGAGGGCTCAGTCATCCGCAAGACTGCCGCCACTGCAGGTGCCAGCTGCCAGTCAGGGACCTAGGCCACCTGTACTTCTGGCCAATCAGCTCCCAATTTTAAAGTTCCCATTGCCTTCTTACTTTTGATAATTTGCTAGAATGACTCGAGCTCATTGAAAGCAGTATAGTGTATGCTGACAATTACAGATTTATTATAAAGGAGACAACTCAGGAAGAGCCAAATGAAGAGACACATAGGGTGAGATCTGAGAGGGAGCACGGAGCTTTCGTGTCCTCTTCCTATGGAATCACCAGCTCCTAGCACATCGGTGTGTTCACCACCTAGGAAGCTCTGCCTCAGGGTCCAGGGTTTTTATTGGAGTTTCATTATGTAGACTTGGTTGATTAAATATGGCCATATGATTAAACTCAATCTCTATCCTCCACCTTCCTTCCTGGAGCCCTCTTAGTTGAAAACCTTGCCCTCTCATCATGTGCTTGGTCTTTCTGGTGACCAGCTACCGTCCTGAAGCTATTTAGGGTCCCAGCCTGAGTCACTTCATTAACGTAACAAATATTGCTATCACTCAGGAAATTCTGGAGATTTTTGGAGCTCTGTGCCAAGCACTGGGAAAAAGACCAGTTAGAGTCTTTATAATTCCATAAGATATCTACATGGGCACAAAAGTTATGTCTCAGTATCGTGGAACCCACCACATCCAGCCAGTCATCCCCACTCTGATTCATCCACAGGCTCCTTAATGCGGTGGTAAAACAACAACTACAAAAGCCTTCTGAGGGTCACAAGGCTGTCCTTTCATAAAAGGCACCTCTGTATCCCAGGGTAGCCTCACCCCAGCTGCCCTCAGGTCACCTTCCCCTCCAGGACGTCTGTTTCCTGAAGAAGGACATTCAAGGCCATTGGCCAGAAGCCAGTGTTTAGGACACAGACTAGCCTTGCCAGTCATTGTTTTCTTCTATTTAAAACAAATCAAAACAAATCCTGAGCACCCCCAAGGCAGGTCTGGTCCCCCGAGGACACCTTGGCTCTTGCCACAGCCTGATACCGTAGGGTACAACTTGCACCACTGCCCTGCAGTCCCTGGACCCTGAATAACACCCCCAGCAACATCACCTACACCACCCCACCGCACCCCCGCCCTGAGAACTCCATGGAGCTGCAATGGAGGCATCTTTGAATGCTGACTTCTGAATCTGGACTAGATGTCTGGTATAGACATGTCCCAACTGCAGATCCCAGGTGTCTTCCCCAAGACTCGTAAGGTGGGGCATTTTTCAGCCCACAAAGGCAGCCAAGAAAAATCTGAGGTGTTTGCTGTGTCTCCTGCTGTAGCAGACCTGTGATCACGCATTGCCTATGCCACAGTCAGCAGGGCTGCTGGCCCCTGCCTCCACCCCCCAATCCTCCACCCCCAACCCACCAACTCCCACCTTCTTTTTTTTTTTTTTTTTTTTGAAGACAGAGCCTCAAGCTGTCCCCCTGGGTAGAGTGCCATGGCATTACAGCTCACAGCAACCTCCAACTCCTGGGCTCAAGCGAGTCTCCTGCCTCCGCCTCCCAAGTAGCTGGGACCACAGGCGCCCACCACAACGCCCGGCTATTTTTTGGTTGCAGCCGTCATTGTTGTTTGGCGGGTCCGGGCTGGGGATTCGAACCCGCCACCTTAGGTGTACGTGGCTGGCGCCTTAGCCGGTTGAGCTATAGGCGCCGAGCCCACCTAATTCTTAACGCTATGGACAAATTCTTTTGTTTTTACCTAAGCCTTAAGCCAAGGCCTGAGATTTGAGCACCTCCCATGGAATTTTCAAAGTCTAGCAATGGGGTGTGTCAAAGATGGGGGTCAGTGTGGGCCCCTCCTATGCCCTGCTGGGCCTGCAGCTCCCTGCACTCTCTTTAGGAATGGGACTCCACCTGCATAAGCTTGGTGCTTCATATGAATGATTTCATTAAGTCTTCACAGAAACCCTATAGAGGAGGGAGTACCCTAATTATCCCAACTTACAGAAGAAGAAACTGAGATTCAGAGAGCATGAATGACTTACTCAAGGTGAAGTTCACAGAGATGGTACTGGTGAAGCCAGACAGTATTCAAACCCAGAACTGTTAAATGCCAGAATCCATGTGCTTAACCATCTCAGTCCTGGCACACAAACTTATTCCACACTGCACAATATTCACGCTTGAGCACTCCCAGTATAGGCTCTGAGCCATGCAGGGTGTAGGGAGGGGTATGAACCTGTCCTGAGAATTTGGCTTCCTCAGAGTACCATCTCTGCCTTTGCCTCTTTTCATTAGCCAGCCCAGCCTGGCAGGGAGCTCATACCCACTTAGCAATTCATTCCTCACTTTGTTGACGAAAGGATCCCAATAGAGCAAGTGGGTTTAAATTTCCCCCTGTTAATACCAAGGTTCGCGGAGGCCACAGTGGGGCAGGGAAGCCTTGTGATTAAGAGGTTAGAGGCAGGGTCTGAATCTCAGTGTTGCTGTTTACTGGCCAGGGGACCTCAGGCAAGATATGGAGTGTCTCCATGTCTCCATTTCCCCAGCTGTAAAAGGGAATAACAACAGTGCCCATCACACAGGGTTGCTGTGAAGATGCAGTTAGAGCATAAAGCCAAGTTGAGCTGGGCCTGGAAGGAGGCAGGCCCTGGGCGCTGTGTCCTTGGGCTGCAGCCTGACAATCTGCAGAGGCTGATTCAGAGCTTCTGAGCCTTCTTTGACAATGGTAGTCTCTTCTCCTGCAAAGTCCTTCCAGCCCTGACCTGGCTTGTGGGAATCCACACTCCTGCTGGGGTCCTCTTGCCTACCGCCCTCCAGACTTGCCAAGCTGACAGGGCTCCATGAAGACCTGGGCTAGGGGAAGCCTATTCCTTACAGTTTTCCCAGCTCCAGGGTGGGCTGACCTAGGGAGAAGACTCAATATTTATGAAGCGCTTCCTGGGTGCCCTTAATTTTCTTCCTTCCAAGGGTGCAAGGTGACAATCGTCAACAACTTCGATTCACAATGAAGACCTTCACCCTTGGCAAGGTCTGCCCAGGTGTCAGGCTGGGCTCCACAGGGGTGGGAGTTGGGAAGATCAGAGAAAGTTCTTGGCCAAGTATAGGAAACTGCTCCAAGACCTCAAAGCACAGTTCTTACAAAGACTTTTGGAGCTGAGCTGACCTCTAGTGGACACAATGGGAATTCCTCGACCTTTGGAGGCTCCCAGGACGGTTGCACACAGATTTGGGATTTGGCAGTCTGTCCTTCACTTACTTGGGGGTGGCTGTATCATGAGGTGGCTTAGAGGGTTGGGACTGGTTAGGGGAACATATTTTAACTTCCCAGTAAGCTCTGTAATTCCACCAGAGCCACTCAAACAAAAACAAAATTTGATAAGAATATGTGCTGCCTTTTCAATTTTATGCAAGAGAACAACATATCTTGGACAAAAATATGTTTTTATTGATCTATAACCATTACACATTTGCAATTTATCCGTTACACATTTTGATACTTCACAGCCTTTCTTTCCATTCCACACATAATCCAAAGAGTTCTACCCAGCCAATATTTAGACCAGGAACTTGGAGAATTTTACAGGTTGTAATAGATTTTAAAAACATGATCCTTGACCTCAAGGGGCTTCTCTTTATTTGGGGAGATAAAGCAGACATCCACAGAGCACTATGATGTTATGGTGGATGTTTTAGCTCATAAACTCCTTACCACATTTTTTTTTTCTTCATTATCCTCCTTTTGACCCTGAACCTCTATTTTACCCAGGTGATGGAGATTCAAGTTTAGGACCATGCTCAGGGTTGTGCCAATGACTTGAGCCTTTTGTGGGACTTACCTTCTAGTCACTGGTCACCCTCCACACTGATTATTGTAGGGGGCCTTTGGTCCCAGCTCACGAGGGAGAGCCACTGTTCAGCTGCACTCATGCCATGCTTGGGGCAGGGGAGCTCTGGAGAGGCTGATGACCCAGGCCTAGAGCCAGCCCCTGATATGCAACTCAGCTGCTTGCTCTGAGGTCCTGGCAGACTTGAAGGCCTCCCTCTCCTCCTTGAACTGCAGAAGAAGCAACTCTCAGGTTTCCTGTGACCCTCCTTGCCTGTCCCCAGTAAGCTTAGGCTGTGGGAAAGGTGAGCTAAAGAGAGGCAAGTCTTGCTAGAAACTTCTACCCTGGCCCTAAACCCCATCAAGACTGGGAGTTTCATAAGGAGAAAATATGGCGTGTGAGGGAGAATAAATTATTTCAAATAATGATTCTATTACATGTGTAGAGAGGCTTCGACCTTTGCCCTCACTCTTGGTGAAGCCAAGGGGTGGTGTCTTGGTTCCTAGCCCCTCCACCAGTGCTCCAGAGCGTGGGTTCCTAGATAGCAGCCCTCCCTCCCTCCCCAAACTTTCCCAGCTTTCCACCACTCACCCCAAACAACTGCCAGGTGAATGTGCTCACTCACTCCACAGGTCTTTCCTGGGCACCTTCTGTGTGCTGGGCACTGTGTGGGGTGCTCCTGAGCCACAGGGGACAGTCCCTGCCCTGGTTCATGCACAGTGGTGGCTGGTGAGGCTACTCACAATTCTTGAAGGTGCCCGTCCACCCACCTGGTCAGTGTACTTGTTCTTGGCTATTCTTTTTCTTCTTTTGCTAAGCTCTTCGTGTTTCCCAAGTTTCCCCAAGAATTTTCACATGACATGAAGAATGATAGACTCCCAGAATGGATCGGGAAGCCTTTATTTCAGCTGTTTCATTTTTTCAGGTGGAGTCACTTGGGCTC